CTTACTGATGCTAAACTCAGAGGCAGGGAATATAGTTCTAGGATTCAGATGCTGGGTGGTCTAGATCTGACAGCCAAGATCTCTACATTCTCATGAACCTAAGGACAGGTGCCAGTCAAGACACTTTGGGTATCTTAGGGCAGATGACCAACATTTATTTCCATCAGTCCATGGGTAATAAACACATTGCTCCATGAAAGATGCAAATATCTCAGTCAAGTCTTGATCTAGCCTGGGAATCATTCTTTCCTACTAGGCATGCCCAGGCAGGCATTCCTTGAGTGATCATCCCAAGTTAACAAACAGGAATGTCTCTTCTCTGTTCCACTGAGTACCCATTTATCTCTTTCCCAGATGGTTTGATTACAATTCTATCTCCCTCATTACCACCTGAGCATAGCAAGCAATCTCCTTTTATTGATGGATTTATTTTCCCAAGGCAGCCGATTTCATTTTTGATTCCTGGTGATTTCTTTCATTGTATATACCGGTAATATGGTTTTGGAGTGTGAACTTGAACACAGCCTTCTAGAGCTAGGCCACTGCTAAGTAATAAGAAGGGAAGTCACCACAGGAGTGAGAGATATGGACTAAGGCAAATTCACATGGCATCCCTGAGGGCTTCTCTCCACATCCCTGACATCTGTGTCATGTGTCATGTGTCATGTGGTTGGGTCCTTGGAGCCTCTCACCTCTTTGAGCAGTTTGTCTCTATTCCCCCTCCTGGATCTGGGGAGGGGGTTCCACATATCTATGGATTAGCTTTACCTTTGGGAAGTGAAAATATGATTTAGTAAAAAGACAGAATGATCTCCCAAAGCCGGTCTTTCTAGAGAGTCAGGGTTCTCCTATCAACTCTTGAGAAATATGTTCCTAAGATCTCAGCCAGGAAACCTGTCAGTATATATAGGCCATGATCTGAATTTGTGAAGCAGAGGGCCCCACCAGAAGACTCCACCAAGGGCAGAGCCAGCATGGAAGTGCCACCCTTGCCATCTCAGGACAACAGCATCACTGAAATGTGTTCATGACAAAGCTAAATTATTCATAGTTACCTACACATTCAGCATATCCCTACTTACACCGACTGTTCTTTGCATGGCTTTGTTCATTAAAACCAGAAAAGGAAAATTTTTTGGAAAATTTTTTGGAAAATTTTTCAGTCAGTCCTAAAATAAGAGGTATTTTTAGTACAGTCCACTTTACAGTATCAGTGCTGTCCAACAGAAGTATAATGAGTCACATATGTAATTTAAAATTTTCTGGTAGCCACATTAAAAAAACACAAAAGGAAACAGGTGAAATTAATTTTGAGTATACGCTTTGCTTAACCCAATACATCCCAAACAATACCACTCCAATATGGAATTGGTATAAAGTTATAAATGGGATATGTTACATCAGGTTGCTTTTTCATTATTGTCCTAAGTCTTCAAAACTGTATCTCATTTATACTTGGAGAACAACTTTACAGAGCGCTGGTGGCTCACTCCTGCAATACTACCTAGTCAAGATCTGAGGATCATGATTCAAAGCCAGCTCAGAAAGAAATGGCCATGAGACTCTTATCTGTAGTTAACAATCAGAAAGCCAGAAGTGGATTTGTGGCTCAAGTGGTAGACTGCTAGCCTTGAGCAAAAAAAGCCATGTGAGGGTGAACATCCCTGAATTCAAGCCCAAGAACTGGCACACATACAAACAGAGCAATGCAATTTGGGCTAGTTGCCTTGAAGCTTCTCGGCAGCATGTGCCTAGGGTCTCCTGTGCAGAACAATGCATTCTTAGGACATTTCCATCCCACGAACTTTCTGGTTAGTTGCAATTCTCCAGTTTTGACCTCTGACTCAAGGAATTCATTCGCCCTCTCCTGTGACTATCTGGTTGTCCTTCTCTTTATTAGTATTTACAAAGCTCCTTCTCTCAGGGAGGGTCTAACGTTTCCCTGTCCAGCTTGAGCCTGTGTGGTCTCAAGAAGCTGCTAATGAAACTATGTTCTCAATGAGGCCTTCTGAGTTCAGTCATGGTCACCAGTGGCTGCAAGCATTCATGTTTCTGCCTTCTGTTCTGCTTCTGAGAAGATCAGGGACAGCTGCTTCAGAATATAACACTTGCCATGACTTCTTAAGTACCCTTCTGACACAGCTCAGTGAGGCTGCAAACTCTCAGCATTGATTACGTTCCCTCTGCCTCCTGTATGATCTACAGTACAATACTCTGAAGGTACTGGTGAAGGGTGAGACCAAGCCTGTGGTCATGAAACTGACCTGTCAGGCTCAACCTGAATGTCCCTTAGGTGATTAAGAGACATTATGTTCTAGCCAGACCAACTGCCTGATTTAAAAGGCTTAGAATGTGTGGCTTTCGGGGTGTGGTGGCACACACGCCTGGAATCTTAGCTACTAGGGAGGTGAAAATGGGACAATTATAGTTTGAGACCAATCCTAGGCAAAAGTTAATGACACCCTAGCATGAAAAAACAGATTGCCTGTTCACATCGATAGTCCTAGCTAAGGAGAAGGCAAAGACAGAAGAATCACAATCTGAGGTTGGCCTGAGGCAAAAAGCATTTGATCTTATTTGAAAAATTAAAAAGTGAAAAGGTTTGGAAGCTTGCAGCACAAGTGGCAAGTGCCAGGCTCTGAGTTCAAATACCAGTGTTACCCCAAAACAAGGTCTGTGTACTCATACTTGGGGGTCTATTCAGAAGAACCAGCTTGAATGGATGACAAGAACATGCTGAATGGATGGTAAGTATTCTTATTTTACAGTCACATAATATGCAACAAATGCAGTGAATTCAGATTACAGCCACACAAAAGATATAAAAATAATCTTATTCTAAACATAGAACAACATAATGGCCATAGAACATTGTGAGCTACTTCCTCAAAATAAGCAAATTAAATTAGCCTATATCATTATTGTTTTTTTTTTTTTGTTTCTCACCCGTGTGCCTTGCAAACTACACAAGACTAAATAATCATATATATTTTTTATTTGCCTTATATAGCCACACATATAGAAATGCCTAAAATTAGTATGAATAGAATGAATTAGTGAGTCTTTCAACAAAAGCTAATAACCGAACAGACAGCCTGATTACAAATCGCTGTTACTCATATGAACTTCAAAAGCAGTTGACTCATTTATTCAGTAGTTAATGCATGTTACTTCTTGAAAGGAAAGTTATTCTAACTAGGAAATCAAATGTTTGTATTCTCAGATTTTATATTCACATAATATGCAGTCATTAAACTTTGTAAATGTTTCCAGGTTTTGCCCAGAGCAGATGGGAGTGATCAAGGTGCTGGCTTTCCAAAAGCCAGGAGTGTGAGTTCAGTGGTTGGATCAGGTTGGATTCAGGCCTGGTTTATGGATGTCTCTACCTTCTGGATCAGCTTAGTAAAACTTCATTCAGTTCAGTTCCACAGGTCTTGGCAGTGCCTTTTGGTGCTTCAGGGGGCCTAGTATGAATTACATAGGGTTCCTCTGCTCAGCAGACTAAGTCTACTACACAGAGAAAACCTCCACAATTCTGATACACACTGAGATCTCCAAGTATGGACTCTGACGTATGACTCAGAGGACTGTAGCTTGTCAGTGGCTTGTCTCCATGGTGCTCTGGGGAAGACTTCACAATGAAGGCCATGTGCACATCTGCCCTTGAAAAGCCCTGGGCCCATCACATCTGCTGTCTTCTCTCCTGCTACGAACTCTGCTCCACAGGTGGCCTCCTACATCACTATTTCTCCATCTCTTTTCTTAGATTTACCATTATCTGGACTTCTTTTTTGTTGTTGTTCAAAAATGTTTGCACTCATTACCTGACTTATGTAACTCTTCTGTATATCATCTTTATAATAACAATTTTAAAAATGGACAAGATAAAAATGTTTGTAGTGCTGGAGATTGAACCCAGGGTTTCTCAAATGCTAGATAAGCACTCTACCACTGAGCTCCACCTCCAGCCACCGAAACCATGTTGCTATGTGTTTGTATACTTACTTTTTGTCCGTCTGCCATGTTGCCTAAGGATATAAGCACTGTGAGAGCAGACTGGTAGGTTTGTGTGTGTGTGTGTGTGTGTGTGTATGTGTGTGTGTGTGTGTGTGTGTGTGTGTGCGCGCGCGCGCGTGCACGCGCACATTGTGCTTCTATGCATAGTGCCTCAAAATGCATCAAGGATGTCATAAGAAAGCAGAAAATTCTTGTGGAATAATCCTTCTGCTCCTCCATCTCAGCAGCTGTGAGGAGCCACTGCAATTTTTCCTTGCAAAGGCACTCGATAAACTTGCTCTGGAAAAATCCTCCTAATTGTGGGTTTAGGATGGATCCCAGGGGACATAAACTTGGAGAGAGAAGAATTAGATGGTTCTTGTACTCATTTAGCTATGAGTGATCCAGGCAAGATATGAACTGAGGCAGGAAGCATGAAGGGTGATTCCATGACCTATGTCCAGTGGAGAATGTTCAGTTCACACTGGCCTTCACATTAATCCTCAAAGACCTTCCCTATTTCCACCCCCAGAATTTAGAGATATATCTTTTTTTCCTGGAAACTTCTTTCCTAGACCTCAGCATTTTATTTAGATCTCCACTTACACATCACTTTCTTTTAAAAAAAAAACCATTGCGATTTATTTGCACTGAATTTTCATGAATTACTGCCTTTAGCTCTTCTTAAAAAGTAAACATACAGTTTCCACTAGTCACATATCACGTGCCAGAGGCCTCGGACCAAGCAGATATTTTATTTATCAATAAAGTTATTAACAGCTTGAGTGGCTTATGCCAAGAGTCGCAGCATAAACCTCCAAACCTTAACCAATGGTAACTCATCAAAAAGGCAGGAGAGATCCCACCTGAAAAAGAGCCTGGCCAGGAAGTACCACTTAACTCCTAACTATCCAGGACTGGTTAGCTATATCAACAGGACATAGCACCATTTCTTTGACAAAACTATAGTATACATCTTTCCTTACAGCACAAAAAGATAAGAAGCCACTCAGACTGTGTCTTCTCCCTCTTACTCTCCCAAAAGGACAGAAGAACAATCATCAATGGCAAATGGCAGTTTCAGGAAAGCAACACCAAGAGCTGACTTCACACTCTGGAGAGAATTCTGCCTCTCCTCTTCCTGGCTTCTGGTACTCTACACCATCAGTGAGATTTCTTAGTAGAGTACTATAGAAATAATCTCTGAACATATACTCTTCCACATCACCTTGTTTGCTAGTTCTATCTTGACTACCATATTTAAAGTATCCCCTCTTATACCTTGGTTTTATCTTTCTTCCTGGCAAATGGACTCCTTACATATACACAGTACATGTAACCAAAAACAAACAACCCCCCCCCCAAAAAAAACCCAAGACCACTTACACCACCTTTCATCCTAACTATGTACTTATTGTTACCAATGCTTCTTACTTCATTTGGATTCAAATTGTCTAGCACTCATCTACAACAACCCAAAAGATAGATAACCTTTAGTATGTACTGTTGGGCAGGCTTACTGAAGTAGTAGAGCTTCAATCAATCAAGCAAGCCACACAATGTAAGGCAGAAAGAGAGAGAAAGAGAAAAGAGAGAGAAAGAAAGAGAGGGAGAGAGAGACAGAGAGATCATTCTATTTTTAAGCTGCACTTTTAGGAAGATAGGAAAAAAGAATATTTACTTGTGGTATTTTTAGTGGGGTAAATAGCTCAACAGAGAACTTGGAGCACTTGAAAATGATCTTTTTGGATGATCTAGTGGTGAGAGTGGAGTATTGAAGTCTCCTACTATTAATGTGCTGTAATCTATCAGTTCTCTGGAAGTGAACCTTTAATGGAACCAAGTGTTTTTGTTCTTATATTATCCTAGTGTAATGTTATTTAGGAATACCTCACAAATGACAGGAAAGAATTTAACCAAGGGGAAAAATAAAGTTCACTGTAAATTATTAACCTGGAGGAAATTAATCAGGGCTTAATTGAAAATGCAGATTCATGGGGCACAATTACCATTTGTTCACTGTAATGGATGTTGTCATCATATTTCCATTTTTTTGATGCAAGAATCAATTTTGGTAACCTCTGTATTCCTGGCACCAAGAAGCACAGATTAAAAAGTGCATACCACAGTCCTTAATATCTTAACAGAATTTTTCTGCATGTCACATACTTAAAAAGAGCCAAAATGAAAACCAAAAGTTATCCTGACATTATTCCTTAAATTGTTGGAGAGTATATTTCATTATTTTTAACAAATTTAACAAAAATTCAACAAAAGATATCCATACCTTTGAAAACAGCAACTCAGGTCCTTGTGGAGTCTCTGTTAACTTGGTTAACTTGGTCTGGCTGTCAGCATGTATGAACAGCTTGCATGTACAAGGAGGGTGGTAAATCACAGTGGTTAAGGCTTGGGCTTCAGGCCAGAGCTGGATTCAAGTTCTGGTTCTGCCACTTAGAACTTTATCACTTAGCAAGGTGCTGAGTTCTCACAGACCACTTTCTAAACCTGGAAAATGAGGATGAATTTATCAGTTATCTCCTGCTGTCATTATGTCATTTTTCAAATGCAAAAAAATACACAAAGACTGTCACAAAAGTTAAAAGCCCAGAAAATATTAGCATTAAAGAATAGATAGTTCTGAGCAGGAAGGAGAGTTTCTTTTCCCCAGGAACTACAGAGCACAGCTGTGATTATTCTTATTGTTCTTTAAGCCTCAACATTAACTTCATCAGGAGATGTAGCTATTTCTGAGAAACAGGATTAGTACTCATGCAGCCTGAGGTACCCATATTTATTTTCTAGAAAGTCCCAGAATCTTTTCTCTCGTATGATTGGAGTGCTTATGAAGCTTGAAAAAAATCAAATGAAAAGAACACACAAACAGTCAAAGAGATGGAAGAGAAACAAACTTTATAATTAAAAATCCTTAATTCTTTAACAAAAAATTCACTAAAATCTATTTGTGCTAATAACTCTTTCAAAATCTGTACAATATATGTGTGTTTATATTTTATTTCTAGTCATAGCTTTGAAGATATTATACATAAATATAAAATATAAATAAGTCAATACTAAATAAATATCTTAGAAGTCTTTCCAAAACAGCAAATCCAAACACTACTCCTTCTATTTTCCCAGCCTCTCTTCTTCAAATGAATACTTTTGTTTTCTTTAGATCCTCAAGACGGTTTGACTTCCTTTCTTAGTTAAAAGTTTCTCCTCTGAAATACTTAAATTTATTTTAAGTAAATTAGCTTTAAGAATGGAAATATAATTTATATGCTACAGAAAGGTTTGGGTAATTCTATCAAGATAATTTGAACATGAATAAACTTCATTGGGTGAAATATACAGCTTCAGCCTGACTTTTCCTTCAGAGTTTTGGGAGTGTGAAGTAGCTGGGTATTTGTGTTTGTTTAGAAGTCAAAGACTGAATTCACAATGACCCCAGGCTGAATGAGGTGTCCCAGTTACTCTGAGATATTTAAGGAGCATTTCTGAGTGTGACTAGAGACTTTCCCTAGAGTTCACATACACAGGTGATCTTCTGTGTCAACTCTGTGCAGATATTTATGTAGACATAGGTTCTTCCTCATTCTCCTGAACTCTAGATGTCTAACACTTTCCTCTCAAAAGCTAACTCACAATTTTTCCTGAGGCTAGGGGGAGGAGTGGAGGAAAGCAGAATGTAAAGATATGAGCAGATGAAATGGTTCCTTTCTTTTCTTTCTTTGCCTCAACATAGAAGTCTCTTCCAAATAGGCAATTGCTTTCTAAAACTTCCATAACCAAACAATATATATTTGGTCTACAACATATAAACAAATACCCATCAATAACAGAACGGATAATGTGGGGGCATAGTCATCACAATGGAATGTGTTACAGCAACCGGAATGAATGGACTTCTGCTAATGCAACAATATGGGCAACTCTCATAAACATAATGTCTAGTGAAAGAAGCCAGGCGCAAAACAGTGTACACTGTTATTCCTGGTACTGCAAATCTCAGAAGGGGAAAATGAATCAGAATAGGGACTCCCATGTGGGGAGGAATTACAAGAGGCTTTTTGGGGATACCAGTGGTATTCTGCTTTTTTTGTTCTGAGTGTTGATTACACAACTGCATTCTTAGTAAAAATTAGCTAAATAGCACACTAATAATATGTACCTTTAGTATATATTTCACTTTATTAAAAGCCTTTAAAAGTGATATCTGGGCCCAACCTTGCTGCCTCATTCCTATTATTCTAGCTACTAGGGAGGCTGTGATTTGAGAATTAAGATTTGGAGCCAGACTAGGCAGATAAATCCATGTGACTTATATCCAGCAAAAAGCCAGACATATAGATATAAGTGCAAGTGTGAGTCCTTGAATTCAAGCCTCAGTACCAACACACACACACACACACACACACACACACACACACACACACACACATCTTCAATCTCAGTACCTTGGCCAAAATGTTTTCTAACTAGTCTAACGTTATTCACTTATGTTTTAGCCTTTCTGTGTCTTCTAATTGATGCTAAGAATAAACCCTTTAGGCTTTCTCAAATTTTCCATGATGGTAAATCTATAAGTAATGACATCTCAAAAAATCATTTGTCATATGATTTGATGTAATGATTTTTGAGATGTAATGATTTACAGATTTCCCTAGCATTGATGTTAGACACTGCTGACAGCACATGGTTACAACTGACTTTTCAAGGTTCCCTTACTGAGACCATATGAACAGCAACTAAACTATTTCTTTTGTTCATAAAGACTTCAGGGAGTATATATTCTTTTACAGCAATATTGCACTGGTGACTATCTGCTGACATGGGTTATGTCTACTTAGTGTCGTGAGATTTCTTCCACTTGCATGATGTTAGAAGGCAGCTGGAGAAACTCAGATGAATGATGACAGAACACAGGCTAAAGAAGACCTTGTAAACTATCAATTTTTGAGGTCTTCTGCTTATTAATTTTAGACTGATTGATTGGTAACAGGATTCTCCTAGAGATAATTAATAAGGAAGAAAAACAAGTAAGCTAATCACTTTGATATTTGTTAAATGAAAGAACAAACAAGTTTTAGGAGGTGTTTTTATACTACTAATAATCTGGATATATCTTGATTGTATCAGAGGAATATCTTTTTCTTTTTTTGGGGGGGTCTGGTCATGTAGCCTGAACTCTGGGCCTGGGTACTGTCCCTCAGCATTCCAGCTAGCTAACGCTCTACCACTTGAGCCACAGCGCCACTTCCGGCTTTTTTTTTTAATGTGGTGCTGAGGAATCGAACCCAGGGCCTCATGCATGTAAGGCAAGCACTCTACCACTGAGCCACCTTCCCAGCCCCTCAGAGGAATATCTTAAAACAGTTTGTGTGTGTGTGTGTGTGTGTGTGTGTGTGTGTGTGTGTGTGTACCAGCATTGGGCCTTGAACTCAGGTCCTATGTACTGTCCCTTAGCTTTTTCACTCAAAGTTGGCATTCTACCACTTCAGCCACAACCACAACTCCACTTCTAGCTTTTTGGGGTTACAAACCTTAATAATAAGATCCCAGCTTCCCGAGTAGTTAGGATTATAAGTGCAAGCCACTGGTGACTGACTCTAAGACAATTTTTTAAACGTTCCAGCCTTCAAAAATGTTAAATGTAGTTAACTATGCTCTTTTTCTTGATTAAAAATTATCTTGAATCCCCGTATTTTGTTTAGTAATATTCAAAATTACTAGAACACAATTTGAGATGCTCATATACATCCAAGTGAAATTAATACTTTTTAACAGTATCACTTCAAAATTCCTTCAAATAAAAAACCACTATCAAGAAGGAAGTTTAGTCATAAATCACTAAACAGATGATTCTGGTGTAAATAATTTATATAGCTATTTTCACATTTCAAAACATTTCAAAAACAGAATAAGAATCTGTTTTCTCCATGTTTTTGTTGTATTTTTTCACTTTATGTGAAATTAAAGACATAAAGAAGAGAATAATGGTACAGTGCGGATCTTAAATAAGGATTCAAAGCCATTCGAATTTCTGCTCTTGACTCAGGATGAAACAAGTCCTTTTTCTTGGCCTTTCATGTTTGTAAACACGGTTAGTAACTCTTATCCTGGCTAAATCACTGTTATATCATTTGGGTCAATATAGGCATAAGTGTTTTGAATGTTATTTTAAATTGGGTTTAAAAACATTATGTAAAATTATGC